TGTTGTTGACGTCGTCGCCGTTGCAGCTAACGATGACAACAACGCTGTGTTATGACTTATGCATTTGTTTTATATTATAAAAGTTTAAATTTTTTTTTGTCTAGTTTTTTTGGTTTAAACAAAACCAAAACAAAAACAAAAAAAAATGAATGAATGAATGGACCTGCGACAAATGTTGTTAGCTGACAACAGCAACTGTATAGGCAACCCTCGTCGTTTTCACAAAATATTTTGCAATCGATTGAAACAATATATTTTATTTTTTATTTATTTTTTTGTTTTTTTTTGTTGTTGTTGGTATTCTGCCGATTCTTTTTAAGTTCAAATTCAAAATTTTATTTTGTCCTAAATTTTTTGTTGCTGTGTTTTTTTTTTGTTTTTTTGGCAATTTTTGTTGTTGCTTTGGTACCGTTGTTGCATTCTGTTGCAGCGCTGCGCAAATTTTGCGGTGACTTTATTATACAATTTTTAATTTTTTTGTTTTTTTATATGAATAAAAAAAACTTTTTTATTTCCCATATTTTTGGTATAAAATTTACGTGTATTTTGTGCATTTTTATTAGGTTTCCCTCAATGGTTTTGTCTTCTTTTATTTTTCTCACTTTTTCACTTTTTTTATTTTTCATTGTTCCTTTTTTAATTTTTGGTAGCATTCATGCATGCCTCATTCCCGTTCAATTCCAAAGTTCCTCTGTCTGCCGCCGCTACCGCTGGCTGCTTTTGTGGTACGCTAAAGGGTTAAAGCGCATAAATTCGCTTGCCTTGTTGTCATGTGTTTTCGTTTGTGTTGCAAAAGCAAATTTTGGCAATTTTTTTTTGGTTTTTGTTTTTTATATTCAATTTATTTTATTTCTTTTTTTTCTTATTATTCGCAGCAATTGGCGTTCCTACTCACTTCTTACTTTGTGGGCAAAAGCTGGGAATTTCGATGCTGTGCCATTTTTAGACCCTTTCGGACTACTTTCTTCTTGTTGTTGTTTTTGTTGTTGTTGGTTGTTACGCACTTCCGTTGTTCCTTAAAATTCACGTTAGCAGAATTCTTGTTGTTGCTGCTGCTGTTGTTGTTGTTGTTTTTGGTTGGCATAATTTTTTTTATTAACTCGTTTTATTGATGTCTGGTTCGTCATTCGTTTTTTGTGCATTTTGTTCTTATTTACTTTTTGACATTTTATTGACCGTTTCGCATAAAGCTTAATGCACTGCGAACAGGTCCTTTTCCAACATTTCTTGTCCTGGCATGTGCTTCAGCTTTTATTGCGCTACTTTAATTATATGTCATTGCAACTTTGTGTCATTGCTTAATGCACTTTTTTTTTTGTTTGGATTTTATTTTATTTTTGAATTCGCTTGAATTTTTGTTTTTGTTTTTTGTTTTTTTATTTCTTTAATTCAACATTATCTTTACTTTTGTTCTTGGTTTAATTTTTTTTTGTCTTTTTTTGTCGTTTTTGAACTCATTTCTTTTTTCTTAAGTTACTGCAATCCTCTTAACAATATTTCAACCCTTTCCGTTGCATGAGTGTCAAGTGGTTTGTCGCTTCAGTAAGTTTTTTATACTTTTTTAGCTGAAAACAGCAAAAATTTTTGGCAATTGTTTTAAGTTCTTTTGTTTTCTTCAAGAGTCCAAAAAAACATTTTTTTTTTGTAAATAAAATAAAATTATAATAAATGTACATTTTATATACAGGGTGATGTAGGGAATTTCTTACCCGAAAGGTATTTGAAATCAAATGAAAAGCTTGTCTTATTGCAAGGAATAATAGTAGTTGTGTATCTCTACAGTTTCTTTCAATAATATCAGCGAAGATGCTACATAGGCCTCGCTTCCTTCCAAGAAGGGAACTATGGTGTCAGAACTATGAAGTTCAGAACTATGCAATTCAGAACTATGGATTTCAGAAGAATAGAGCTCAGAACTATTGAGTTCAGGACTATGGCGTACAGGACTATAGAGTACAGCACTATAGAGTACAGGACTATGGAATTCGGGACTATGGAGTTGAGAAATATGGAGTGCAGGACTATGGAGTTCAAAACACGAAAGTGCAAGCTTATAGAGTGCAGGACTATGAGTGCAGGACTATGGAGTTTAAAACACTAAAGTGCAAGCTTATAGAATGCAGGACTATGAGTGCAGGACTATGGAATTCAAAACACTAAAGTGCAAGCTTATAGAGTGCAGGACTATAAGTGCAGGTCTATAGAGTGCAGGACTATAAGTGCAGGACTATGGAGTTCAAATCACTAAAGTGCAGGCTTATAGAGTGCAGGACTATGAGTGCAGGTCTATAGAGTGCAGGACTATAGAGTGCAGCACTATGGACTTCGGAGCAATGGAGTTCAGAACAATGGAGTTTTGAGGTATGAAGTTCAAAACTATAAAGTTCAAAACTATGGCTTTTGAAATTACGAACTCTGAACTATAGAGTTACAACTATAGAGTTCAAACTTTACAGTTCTTTAACTTGATTACTTGCCACTAAGGCTTAATATGCAGCCCTATGCTCCTCCTAGAAAGTAAAGGATTAAATATATATATATATATATAAGGCTTAACATAACAGTACTCTTAATACGTATATCACTAGAAAGCAACGATAAATGTCCCCAGTAGAACTCTAAGAAACTCCTCTGCTAATAGTTTAAGTTATACACTTGAATATATTTTTCCCCTTGTGTGGAAGCGGGGGTTATCCAACACTTTAGCTGTTTTTTGGACCACAGCAACCGATTTTGAGGTACAACTCCACATTACATGAAAGTAAATGAATACATTCATTCAACCGGCGTAACTTTAAGTTTTAAAAACAGACTCCACGATGCTCTTATTAAAGGCATGGACCTAAATTGATTAGGATAGCCAAAACTGTAGACTCTGACCTCCGTGTTTCTAGTTCTATATCATAAGTTTTTAAATAGGCATCTCAATAGTTACTGAAGCACCATGTATATATAAAAAACAAAAGTAAAATATATTTCCACCACCGTTTTCTTTAAACCCCGTTGCTTTTGTGCTTTTTGCGTGCTTAATTATAATATCCCAAAATTGCACCGGATTATTGCCCCTTCTTGCAGAACACATTCCCTTTGTAAAATATAAGTTACTCTTACCGACATATTCTAAGACTAAATATTCTGTTTTTTTGAGACACAAAACCAAAAAAAATGCACGATAATTAATTTTTTTTTTAATAAGAAATTATTACCATTATTAAAACTATTTAGGAAATATAAATACATAATATTTTAACCCATCTTAAAAGTAGTTATAACTATTAACTTAGAGTACTTTGGGAAAAATTTGTGATGCCAAAAAATCTATGTTTAAGTTCCTCTTTCTGAAAGAAGGAATAATGGTCTAGGTGATTCCAGATGGATTATAAATTTTAGAGATATGTTATATTGTTAGTTCACCATTTTAAGGAAAGATGTTGAGAAGCCCGCTTTACACTTTATAATTCATTTCATACACTTTGCCCAGAGTATTTGACCCGAACTCATTCTCTGCAGCTAAAGAATCAAAACGTTAAGAACCTATCATTAATTTTGATCTTAAGATGGTTCACAAAGTTTTACCATAAAAATGTTGGAAACCCATCAAGAAATTTACCCATAAAGTATTCCTTTGAGTTTTATCTTTAAAACTTTGAAAGCCCATCATGTATTATGGGCTTATTATGTTAGGTAGTTCCCAAAGTTACCCAAAGTTAAATATTGAAATAATAACATACATTTTGCACACACCGAAAGGTATTGCCAACATATTAGAATACCATCCTACATTTTGACCTTAAGAGTTTGCCTAAATATTGGAGTCCTATCAATCATTTTGAAGATGACTTACTCCCAAAAGCATAGGTTCATCCATTTTGACTTGTAGGTGTTCTCTAAAGTTTTAACATAGAAACTTTTGAAGTCCATTATACAGTTTGACCTTGAAGTTCATTCCAAAGTTCTATTATAAAACCATTAGAATCTCATTATGCATTTTATTGACTTGTTGATTCTCATCTTCAGTGGTTCACACCATCTATGCTTTTCATTGAATATAACTATGAGATATTTAGGTGGGTTGGTATATGGTATGAAGAAGTAGTATTCTAAATTGCATTATTGCATTGTCTATTGTGAAGTACAGTGGAAAAAATGGTTCCTGCTTTGTTGAAGTGTTGGAATGTGGAAAAATAATTAAAGCACCTGCGGCCAAATAAAAATTAAAAATCAATTTGTGCATTTTTCTTAATGCATTTTTGTTTTTATTAACAATTATTCACTTTGCGGATGCAACTTGTTTTCATTTTATTTACCTTTTGTTGCTCTTATTGTTGTTGTTGTTGTTTTTTTTATACAAAACAAATTAAAAATGTTTTAAAGCTAATTTACTGCAAAGGCTGGCATAGTGTAAATTACAAAAAAGTAAATAACTACTAACAAACATATAAACAAATGACTGTTTAAACACACACACACAATATATGTGTACACATACATACATACAGTTTTGTATATGTGAAGTTGTCCGTCTGTTTGTCTGCTTACTTTTTGCCTAACTAAGCACGACTGTGGTTTTCCTGACGACTGCAGCGCGGCACAAGCAAACACAGTCAGTTTAACCCTAGTAAAGACGCTGCCTCAAAACAGACACTTGCCAGCCACACTAGAATATGTGTAACGGGTACTCCTTTACGGGCTTCACGTTTAATTTGGTTTTTTTTGTGAGTTGTTGTTGTTGTTTTTGGCATTTGTTGCAGAAATTGCATGCAAAATGAATTGCCAAATAAATAAGCCAGTTTGCATATTACCAAATTTGTTGTTGAAATTAAAAGCAATTTTTCGTTTTATTGTTGTTTCGTTAGTTTTGCATATTTTGGCTTAAAGGAAATTACTATTTCGGTAGTAGGGTCGGAAATGAGTAGTCGTCATAAGGAACCCATTTGCCATCACGCAGACAGACCACTGCATGATCAAACCCCTTACATGAATTTCTAGTGCAGTCAGGCATGATTGTCGTCTTCGAATACGGATCGTCGTCATTGTCGTCGTCGTCGTCGGAGTCGTCCACATCGCCATTGCCATCATCGTCATCGTCATCATCATCGCAAACGTCGTAGTATTAATGTTGATTGTCTTGAACGTATTTAGAGCGTAAAATTTAGTCAGACAAAATAAAATTTTGTTATTTTATTATCAAGGAAGTTTCGAAAGGTTGGGAAGGTTTTTTTAAAAAATAAAAAAAATAAAAAAAATAAAATTAAATTAATTTTTTAAATAAATTGAATACATTTTTTGTGAAAATGGCACACGGGAACTGAAAAATCCTCCAAAATAATAACAAAAGAAATATTGAAGTGAAAATGCAGACTTAAGCATAAATTTGCATATAATTTTGAATTTAATAAATCCATCGCCAAATTGCAAGAGACAATATTATATTGTATATATACGAATATTGACAACAATAATATAGTCATGTTACAATATAACATATGTGATGAAACCTATAGATTGATAGAAGCAAAAACTTCAATAGATTTCTTCACATACATGTTTTTATGAAAGCAGTTTTTGGAAGAAAACTCATTCATGTTGAAGTTTATTTTGAGTCTTTTTCGAGTCAGTGCATCTGGGCACTTTTATTGCTTGATGGCTGGAGGGTTTCTACAGAATCCCATCCTTCTCACTGACTAATTTATGTATTCTTCAAAAGCTTCGTGATTATTAGATGACTGATCTAAGATCTGCGTACCGCGGCTAAGGATTACTCTGAGATTAGATAGTGCTAAGTAGGGTAGCCTGTCGGTTTTCGCGAATAGCTTTAAGGGTCTGTCCTTTATATATTTTTTTTAATGGGTCTATTCTAAGATCTCTTAGCATATCATTAGTGCGAATATGAAGATAATTCATGTGATAAGTTTTGTATCCTTTAAGAGAAGCTGATGTGATGTAGAGGATAAGGTATAAGAACAAACTGTATATATTGTAAAATTGAGATATTATTGTCATCGATGACTCCTAATCCAAAAATCTCATAATCAGTCTCCCTCGGATCAGTCCAAAAAAGGACTGATCAATTTTTAAAACTGTCAGTTCATTAAAAATCTAAAGATCGGTAGAAATAACTGAAGTTAATTCAATAAAACATCTCAGCCAGGGATTATATTTTTCCCCAAAAACAATAACAAAACTAGTTCTAGAGAAGGCTTCTCAATATAAGCTCAGCGGAAAATATAAGATAGATGAAAAAACACAAAGACGGACTAAATAATTTATCCATTAACTCAAGGTGAACTCACAGTTTCACTCGCTGATAGGACACTAAAATTTAATAACGACTAAATGAAGCGAAGTGATTTGTTAATAAATGATAACAAATAGTTAATGATTAATAAAAATATAAAATTTTAAAATTACTGTAGATTTTGCTAAGCTGTTCCTAAACTTCAAACACCAATAAAGAGAATTCAAGATGAATATAGTGACTCATAGAGTCACTATATTCAAGATTAGTATTAATCAAACTAGTTTTATTTTTCATATTAAATCTTTTGAAAAAAATATAAAAGTATATATATATAATTAATTTGTTTTCCTATATATAAACATATAATTGTATATAGTCGAAGTAATAAATATCAAGTCTTCGGAAATAGAATTCATATACATCTCTGACCCTGACTTTGACATTCAAAAACAAAATCATCATCAAAATCTTTCCACACAACCGTGAAATTTGCAAAATGAAAAAAATAAAGAATAAACAAAAACTTTACATAAAAAGTATCTTTTTGTATACAAAATATAGCAGAAAAAATCGCACAGATTAATTACAGACAAACATGAGAAATGAAATTGCAATCCAAATTAACATCAAAAACACCCAAAACAATGGCGCACATAAACCAGACAAAAGTGAATATCTGAGACTTTGTGCAAAAATTAAAAAAAAAATATTATTTTTTTAATATTTTTTCTAAATTTAAGTGAATTTTTAGCGTCAAAAAAAAATCTACTGCAGAAAAAAAAACGCAAAATAATTATTAATAAAATTATCAAAAATCTGCTCTACAGCGAAGTCTCGACCGACTTCAATTCCAAGCGAATTTTTTTTTTTTGAAAATTTGCAATGTGAAGACTTAACGCGCTGCCATTTAACTCACAACTGACGAAATTAATTACATAGAGAATCTTTTTTATACTACAAGATACAGTATCTGACAATGAATGCCTTAATACTTATTTATTTGGATTAGTCAAATTATTATGCGATATCAACCAGCATTCAGTTCAGAGCAATTTTAGTGAACTCATGTTAATACATGTGAGAAACAATCAAATAAAACACTATAGTACATATATATACGTACATTTATACATTACTTATTGAGTAAATTATGCTAACAGATATCTTATATGGCTATGTTCAGTGAAACTTACATCTAGAAAATAATCGAAACGACTAAATAGATATATGTTTGAATAAATTGTAACATCAAAAAGATACTTTATAGTTATCCGATTAGTAAATACTTTTTAATGTAGACAATAAGGTAAACAATATAAACAATATTCTAACAATAATCTGTCCAAGATAATCTTGTAATGAACTAGTAACTGATAACTAGTAACAGAGAGGAGTGACAGATAAGGAATATTTTGAAACAGAAGAAAAGCGATAAAGACTGATGGGTCCAGAATAGAGAAGAACACAGGAATATTGGTTGTCACTTGGATTTCCGACACTTGGAATAAACCTTCACACCTATATTCCAGATAAAAGTAATCATCATCTAGTTACTGCTAACTAGTAACTAGTAACAGAGCGGACTGAAAGAAAAGTAAGATTTTAAAACAGAAGAAAAGCGATGAAGACTGATGTATCCAAAATAGAGAGAGAGACAAAAAAGATTAATGAGGTGATTTTTGGCGCTTAGAATATACCTTCACCACTGTATTTCAGATGAAAGTAGTCATTATCTAATAACTGGTGACTTATAACTAGTAACTAGTAATGGGGAGAAGTAAAAGATAAGTAAGATTTTAAAACCGAAGAAAAACGATTAAGACTGATGGTTCCAGAATGGAGAAGAACAAAAGAGATTGATTGTCTATGATTTCTGGCGCTTGGAATATACCTTCACCACTGTATTCCAGATAAAAATAATCATCATCTTAACAGTCTATTATTTTCTGTAGTAGAAAACCTAAATTAGACATCTCACAGTTACAATGAGGTTAAAGACTACTTTGAGGATAGCTGCAAAGAAGTTACCCGGACAAAAATAGCAAATAAACAACTCTACACTTCTCTTGCGGTAAAGGATGTTTACATCTTTGGTGAAAGAAACGAATTAACAACGATATAAAAGCACTTGATACTACTAACCGTTGATAGCAAGGCTACTCATCGGGTGAATCTACTAAGATAGACCTACGACTGTAGTGGCAGAACTAAACACAGAGATATTCCATTCTTTGCTAACTAACTATGTGGTAACAAGATACTAACTATGCGGTTGTCAGCTAGAAGAGTCACCTCTGTTGCAATTAAAACCAATTAACTATTGGATATATCTTCACTTTACTTTTTTTTTTTGATGACTTTTTGAGAACTTACATATTGACTTCTATGCATAACGTCCACGTATATTAAAAATCATTATCCAATAATAATTACAGTTTGGTTATTTTATATAAAAGAGTCCAAAAAGTCTTTTTCGACTTCTTTGCAATTTTTGCTATTCATTATTTATAACCTATATTTTTTTTTTTTTTGTTTAGCTATTATCTGTAAGCTATAAGTTAGGTTAATAACTTAATTATCATATGTAGGCATGTTTGGTGTTATAAATAACAGAAAAATGCAACTGTTATTGATTTGACAATAAAACTACAGCAATTTTAGTAGATGATGCCACACTATCAGCAATCATAAAACTGTAATTAAATAAATTTTTAACCTGAGGATAAAATACAACAACAGTTGAAGATTATCAGCAATTCTGAGAGTCATTCATAGAAGCCAATAACGACAACAACTTGGAAACTATTTTTAATTGTGTCATTAAGCTACTGTGCAAATAGCAAATAGGAGCCTAATAGCCGCCTAAATAACGCACAAGGAAAAAAATTAATGAAAATAAAAATATATGCATATATGCATATTGAAGGAATGAGTAGGCCACAGGAATGTAAAGAGAACTGCCCATCGTTGGAAGACTAAGCAAATTGTTGTGCCAATTGTGGCTTTCAGTGCCTTCCTCATAAAAAATAAATTTTAGTAGCATTTGCAAAGGTAAAGTAGCTCATCAGGCTTAAATGTCTTTGCCTATTTAATTGCATAATGAAAGGGCGCTTGCGTTAAACAAATATTACAACAAAAAACGTTTAAAAAAAAACAACACTACACAATAAAAAATAATAATTATAAAAAAACAGATCTAAATTGAAATATGCATAGGATTGAGAAGGGGGAAATAAAATACGCATGCGCAACATAGCACAAAGCACATAGCACAAGCTGTGCATATATGAATGAAGGCAATGAATGCGTTCCAATACATTCTACAAACTTACAATAAAAACAACTACAACTGCATTGATTTAATCAACAATTATGGAAGTTGAATGAAGTTAATAATAGCAGCGCACAGCTGATGCTGTGGCAGCAGTAGCGAGAGCTAGTAGCAAAATACGGCGAAGAGTGTAGCAATTACAACAATTTTGCTTAGTAGATCAACGAAGCGCTGCGTATGCGCATGGCATGCAGCACATATTCACACCAAGCAATGCGATTCAATTACGTTCGCTATGTTTGCTTTATATTATGTATGTTTATTGTATGTTTATGGTTTCCTTTTTAATTGGCTGTGTGCATGCGTGTGTGTGTGTGTGTGTGTGTGCGTGCGTTTTCATAATATTCGCTTGACTTTTGCTCAAGCGCAATTAACATAATGACACTTGCCACCGATTTTATGAATGCAATTCCCTACATGCGAGCATGCAAATAAAAACTGACTCGAATGAGACTCGAATGCGCAACGCATGCGCATTTCTTGCTGCGTTTCTTCTTCTTCTTTTTCTTTTTCTTTTTCTTCTTCATCTTCTCACATA